CTGGCAAGTACTTGAAAGGGAGACCTCCAAGGAATACCAGGGCATGGATGGAGAGGCAGGTAATATCAAGCCACCTGTCTGAAATGTCCTTGCCCCAATAGCGGTTGCCACCAGGGCCGGCCCGAGGTGTCTCTGCACCGTAGGCGAGGCCAGCTTGCGGTGCCCGCACCCCCCAGGCGATGCCAACCTCCCGGTGGGGCCTGAAAACAGAGGGAGGGGGAGCAGAGGGCGCCGCCATCGCCTTGAAGAACGAACCTCAGGAGGTTCACTGGGGGGGGGGCGCTCTGGAAAACGGCCGCCACCCCCGTCCCTGGGCTCACCATCTGCAAGAAGAGACTGAGGTCGGCGGTGTAGGGCAAGAAGGCGCTGTAGTTGGAGGGGCCACTGGCTGGATCCAACAGGGCTCTCTCAAGAAAGAGTGGGAGAAATTGAGCAGTACAAGGGGAGGGGGGAGACCAAGGGCAGAGCAGCTGCTTCGGTGAAATCCTCCCTGCGCCATGGGGGAAATCCTCATTGGGGGGGGGGATCTCCCAGCCTCGCTCGCGCTGCCTACTTTGTGAGCTGCTGGCATTAAAGTTCTGAGCGGGCGATTTGGCTGCTGCATGAATTAGTTTGCTCTGGAGCCACATCCTTCCTGAGCTGAGGCATGCCTCCCCCCTTTCGGTGGCAGCGGCAGTGGGGGGGGGGGAGGAGGTGGTGGCGGCAAAAGGATGGCTGGGGAGGCAGGCAAGGTTCTCCTGCGTGGTGGCGCCTGGTTGCCTGCTGGAGGAAGGGCCCCCACACAAGGAAGGTCGCTGATTTCGGGTGGCGCTGCAACGGAGCTGGAGTCTCCCACTGTACATACAGCAGGGACTTGGCAACCCTAGTTAGACTAGATTAGAATCCTGTTCTCCTCCCATTGTCAAGGAGTCCCAGGCTGAACCCCATGGGTCCCCAGGGCTGTCACACACAAAGGAGCAGATGTTTAGTTAATTTTATAAAATGAAATTATTTGGCTTATTTAATTTCTAGCAAAAAGTTTCAAATAATGAGCAACATATTATCTCAGAATTATACAACAAGAAAATGAGGAAACTAGCTCTTAACTGCCTAACACTTTCCAGGACTAGTGTTAGATGGCACAAACCCCAAAGTCAAAAGGACTTTTTCTATGTGGCTAGCGATGGCAATTCAAGTGTGACACAGTTTAGACCTTTAGTGCATCAGAATCCAAGCTAGTTTTTTCCTCCAGGTTCTTAGCTCAAGTGTATTTTTTGGTCAAGCAATATCAGGAGATGATGACATCCCGTCAGCACACTGTCTTCCTGGAATCCTCTAGAAAATTACCTCAACACTCTTGACCTCTCACCTCCCATCCAGTGACTGCAGGTTCTCCTGAGAAGTTAATTACCATGTTTCCAACTCTGGCCTTGAAGATGATGACTATGTAGGCCAAGCAATCCATCAGATTGCTGCAGAGTGGCCAAGCCTATTTACCATTCAATTTAACCCTTGAGGGGGGAAAGTCTATCCAGTTTTGGACCTCTTTGTGTTTGACCTCCTGGACTGTGACCTGACTTGTGTGTTTTGAATCTGTCCTGCTGGTTTTTACACTTGGACTGCTGGATACCTATACTTTTACTCCCGGGCTGTGTTTCGACTATGCAGTTTGTATCTCTTCCTTGGTTACCCAGCTTGAACCAGGACAGTTTGCTTCCACCTCACACTCACGCACCACTGTGGGATGGAGGCTGGAGCTGTTGGTGACCTGGCTGCACAGAAGTGGGCACTGCAAGAGCAGGTTGTCCAGTTAATGAATGCTGTTATGTCTGCTGACCGCCACTAGGTGACAGCATATTTTACAGGAGCTTGGATCCTTAGGAACAATAGGGACTAGGATCCTGAAACCTCTAGCTGTCACCAATGGGAACCTTGGCGGGAAGTTTAACCCCACCAATGGAACCTGTGGGTGGGCCACAGAGACTGTATATAGTTGGCCCTCTGGCCGGTAATGTGTTATGTTATGTTGTGTGCTAGTAAACATGAGCTGAATATCACTATGTTTCCTCATTATTCTATGTGTCCAATCCATTACACAACAAATGCGTTGACCTTGCTTCAGCAGCAACAACAGGCAAGCACCCTCGGCCACCTGGTGCTGTGCCATCTGTTCCAGTACCTCTGCCTCTGGGGAAATGTCCAGTGAGGCCACCGGCGTAATCTGCGGGAGGGCTGAGGGGCTTGCGCCTCCCCGAAATTTCCCCAGAAGCCCCGCCCACCCGCCGCGAAGGAAGCCACCCGGCCCCAGCCTCGCCCCCGCCGAGAGCGGCCCTGCGGCCTCCGTGGGAACATGTGTGTGTGGGTGCAGCTAGACGGTGGCAAGCAGCAGCACCGGCCGGTGGACCGCACCGGGGCCGAGGCGGCGCTTTCCCTGAGCGGGAAGAGGCAGACCTGCCCCTCACGCAGCCCCAGCGGGCGGAGGTGGTGGTGGGGGAGAGCTCGGACATTCGATCCTCCATCTTGCAGGCCCTAAGCATTGCCGGAGGGTGGGGGGGACGTGTTGCGGCGGCTCCTTGGTGGTCGCCTTGTCCCGAGATGATAAACAACTCAGGGCCCGCTTGTAAAGTTCCCGCTCCCGCCTCAGAAGCGGGTTGTTTTCTTAGCCTGCTAATAAGAGGCGCCTGCGCCTCGTTTTGGCGCCCTTTTGGCCACTTAACCCCTTCCGTTCAGGGGCCTCCTCCCCCGAGAGCCGACAACCTCCCGTCAGAGCTTGCCCAGCCCCCTCCCATAAATCCTGAGGGAAACAAGCCGGGAGGAGGGGGGCTGAGGGCCAGGGCAGCGGCAGCAGCCACCGTCTAGCTGCACCCCCCCCACACACACACACGTGTGAGGATCCGTTTAGATCCGACTTTTACCCTTTTCCTTTGTGGAATAATATACAGAAAAGTCCATTCGTGTTTGAATGACGTTCATGGTTAGTATTGGTTACCTTTTATTTTTTAAAAAATCTCGATTCGTGTTTTGTGTGTGTGGATTTTTTTGTATATAAATTTTAGTTTCTTCAAAAAATTGCAAGATAAATATATGTTTAATATGTACATAAAGCCAGATAAAGTTTTGAAGGCTGTAAAATAAATGTTAAAAACCCTCTGTGTCTGTACTGGTTGGAAATCTGTGCATGAAGGCTGTTGCGAAGTTTTGCCCGTGATGAGAGGAAGGACTTTGAAGTGCTGCGAGGAGGGAAGGCCTGCAGATTTCTCTTTGCCAGCCCTACAGGCTCGGACCTCTTTTAAGGGAGCAAAACGATTCATTTCAGGCAAAGGAGTATCCGCTCAACAGGGGTGCCGCGAGTGCCTGGGAAGCCCGGCGCTTCTTTCAGGTTGCTTTTCTGGAGGCAGAGAGAGGGAGGGAGGAAGTCCTTCGCAGCTCACTCTGAAGTCCCCCTGCGGAAGTGAATGGAGCAGTCGGGGAGTAAGTGGTTCGGTAAAGGCAGGCCGGTTGCTTTGGCCTGGCTGGGTAGAAAGGAACACGAGGCCCCCAGCCTCCTCCGGGCTTCCCTTGCGGCGCGCTCCTTTCGCAACCCTGGGGCACTGCCTGCATCCCCCCGCGTCTTCTAGCACCCACCGGGTGGAGTGGGGCTAGGTCTCCCACGCAGTCAAGCGCGTCCGCTCTCGGGAGGCGACCACAGCTCCCTCATTAGAAAACGGCCTCTAAAAAGAAAGGAAAACGTCCTTCTGCGGCGAATTGCTCCCCCCCCCGGCCGGGTCTTGTTTGGAAAAGGGCTGTCCTCCGCTATGAGGCAGAAATGCTCCTTTGCTTCATTGAAACAGCAGCAAGGCTTCCCCTCACTATCGGGAGGGGGTAGAGAGGAGGACGGATGGGGTGCGGGTGCGCAGCCGGCACCTTGCGCGCAAGCGGGGGGGGGAGGCTCGCTTCCACCTCCTCCTTCTCCTCCCCCCTCTCCCCGCATCCAGGCGCTTTGCAGCCGGCAGCTCCGTCCGTCCCCCCGTCCATCCCACGCGGCTTCTTCCGCGGCGCCGCCTCCTGCTCCTCCGCCTCCCCCTCGCCTCTCCTCTCCGCCTGCTGCTGCTGCTGCTGCAGCCCCCTGCCTGTCTCGCCCGGCTGCCGCTGCGGTGCTTCCCCGGCTGGGCCATGGTGAGCGGGCGCTCCGGTGGGTGCAACGAAGACTATATTGTCCATTGTTAGGAGGTTCTACCACTGTCTTGTGCCCAGCCCCAGCCCCCCCCGGGAAATTGTATGGCTGAGGAGGAGGACGAGGAGGCAGCTGGCTTGCTGGAGACCAGGGACTTGTCTGGGTCTTTTTTCTTGTGCAAAGAAGGGCACAGTCATGGGGTCTCCAGGGGGAAGAGGAAGCAGTGGAAATTGCCATTATTCCCCTTTTAAATTCCCAGGCAGGACTCCTTGCGGCTCTTGAGCATCTGACATTTCATCTATGTGGCTCTTACATGAAGCAAACCCCTGCTGGCTCGGATCTCAGCTCGTCTTTCTGCCTCTTGCGCCTGGCGGGAGGGAGGAACGGGGGCCCTCTAGCCCAGCCCCCCCACCCGGAAATTGGAAAGTCTACGCCCCTGGCTGAGCACAACAGAGAAGTTTGGGGGGAACATAGAAGTGTTCTCCACGTTCTTGGCCCAGTGCCAGCTACATACTGAGCTCCAAATCTGGATTTTTCCGGATAAAAAGACCAAAGTCTGCTGCATCCTAAATCTCTTGAAAGGGAAGGTAACCAAATGATGTACCCCACTGCTGCTCAGGCTTCTGAGCAACCCTCCAGCCAACATACGCTTTCATGGGTTGCACAGCGAGAAGAAAAGTTCCCTCCACCGTTCTTCTCTGAACAGCTTCCCTCTCCGGACCCGCCCTAACAAATCTGTCCCCCCCCCTTCAATTTCCTCCTTTCTTCGGACCACGCTCCCGCGTTCGAGTTGCTTTGGGCCTTGGCAGCCACCGTCGCCACGGGATAGGGAAGGAAGCGCGCTCCCGCGCCCCCGCGCCCGCGCTCCCGCCGATATTCAAAAGGAGACGAGACGGGATACAGAAGGAACTTTGGTAGGATTTTCTATTGTCGAATTTTGTCATTCTTTTTTAAACACCTCCTCCTTCTGGAGATCTCTCCCTCTCCTGCAAAGCAGCAGGTGGTTGAAGGGACACCGTTTTCGCTTCCCCAGCTTTTACTCCATGGAAGCTTTCTCGCATTACAGGACTTGTTTATGGTATGCCTTTCTCTTCAATGGGAATCCAAAGTGGCTTACATTTTTTTCTTTCCTCCGTTTTATCCATGGAACAACAGTCCCTGTGAGGTAGATTAGATTGAGAGAGTATCACAAATTCACCGAATGAAGGTTCATTACCGAGTAGGAATTTGAACTTAGGTCTCCCTCCCAGATCCTAGTCAATTGTTCCATTACGTTTGCTGTTATGTCCATTCTGTGTTTCAGAGGATTTTGGGATGGTTTCGTAGATCTTGTATGCTTCACAGTACAAGGTGAGGGGCAGGATCAGTCGCTGGGCAAGCTTCTTTCTAACCAAAATTTAAATAATGTAGCAAATATGGTTTTCCAGGCAGGGAAATGAGTGTGTTGTTTCCCTTTTTCCGCTGTAGCTGTCAATATGGCAGATTTTCATATAGTTACCCTGCCTTAACCCACTCGCCTCATGGCTTTCAGGGTTTTTTTTTTTTTTAAATGAGAAATTTAATATCATTCTATCGATGTGTTATAACAATCTATGTAATGTGTTCTCTGAATTCCTGGCTTTCATTTTTTGTTAAAGTTGCTAGCTCCTTTTGGTGCAGAGATATGCCTGTTCACGTATATATCTGCAACGCTGAATATATTGGGTTAAATGTAAACCCCCCCCCCATTTTGACTTGAAAGCACAGAAGTTTTACGCAGTGTCCCTGATCCTCCATGTTTCCCGGTTAAGGGAAAAATGCTTTTCAAACAAGTTGCAAAGATGATCCAACTCCCATGGTAACAAGTGAAAGAAATTTTACTTACAAAAATAGAAGCATACATTATATTCATGTAGATACATTTAAATTATTGTGAACAGGCTAACTTCAAAAATATCAACTCGTGCCCTGACCTGGATAGCCCAGGCAAGCCCAATCTCGGAAGCTAAGCAGCACTGACCCTGGCAAGTACTTGAAAGGGAGACCTCCAAGGAATACCAGGGCATGGATAGAGAGGCAGGCAATATCAAGCCACCTGTCTGAAATGTCCTTGCCCCAATAGGGGTTGCCAACAGGGCTGGCCCGAGGTGTCTCTGCACCGTAGGCGAGGCCAGCTTGTGGCGCCAGCACCCCCCAGGCGATGCCAACCTCCTAGTGGGGCCTGAAAACGGGGGGAGCACCATCGCCTTGAAGAACAAACCTCGGGAGGTTCACTGGGGGGGGGGTGCTCTGGAGAACGGCCGCCACCCCCGCCCCTGGGCTCACCATCTGCAAGAAGAGACTAAGGTCGGCGGTGTAGGGCAAGAAGGCGCTGTAGTTGGAGGGGCCACTGGCTGGATCCAACAGGGCTCTCTCAAGAAAGAGTGGGAGAAATTGAGCAGTACAAGGGGGGAGGGACCAAGGGCAGAGCAGCTGCTTCGGTGAAATTCTCCCTGCGCCATGGGGGAAATCCTCATGGGGGGGGATCTCCCAGCCTCCCTCGCGCTGTGGGCTGGGGGCTTTCGCTGCTGGGCAGAGCCGGGGTGGCAGGATGGCACTGCAGGACGTGTGCAGCCGGACGGCCTGGCGCATGATGCCTTCGGGGCGTGGCGGGCGCGCATTGCTGTTGCCCGCACGGGGGAGTGGAGCCTGGGCCGGGTGCAGCTCAGAAACTCTTGAAAAAGAGCAGTTTCTGTCAAAAGCTCTCTCAGCCTCACCTACCTCACAGGGTGTCTGTTGTGGGGAGGGGAAGGGAAAGGAGTTTGTAAGCCGCTCTGAGACACCTTTGGGTAGTGAAGGGCGGGGTATAAATCCAATATCCAATAGCTCTGATAAAGCAGAAAAGCACTTAGGTGGTGATGGAAGGGGAGAAAATGGCAACAGAGGGGACAAGGGCAAGAAAAATTGTTATTGCGTGGGTAAGACCAGGAAACCCCACACTTTCCCACCCACATGGCAGCCATCCAAGTATTGATGTAATCACTCCCAAACCTTTGCAGCATAGCATGTTTGGGAATGAACAGGGAAAACCTGGGAGGTGCACAAATGCACTGGGTGCTGTGGAGAAGGGAAAAACCCAACAGCATCAAGCCTAGTCCAAATAACATGTGAGGAAAAGGACAAAGTGTAGGGGAATTGTGTGATTCTCAGTTACTGCTGTTGTGAATGGTCTCTGTACTTTTCTTGATTATATTTGCATTGTAGATAATTATATCTCATCTTGCAACTTCTTGGCACCAGACGTGCAGACCAGCTTCCTGCCCTTCGACCCTACTGTTTGCAACTTTTGCCCCTTTATAACCTTGTAGGTCAGCTTCCTAAAGCCTGTTACGTGAATTTGATGAATGAGACTCTGTCCTTAAAAACTTATGCCAGAATAAAAATGTGTTAAATCTTTAAGATTTCAAAAGATTCCTGCTTCTGAAGAACTCAAGGGCTCTCCCGCAACCTAGCACTGATGTACAGTATATTGAATCCCTTCCCAACAGCAAATGGTGTTGTACAAATGTGTTGTGACAGTGCGCATTCTCTATCTCTTCTGCAGGATAATTCTTGGCAATGGATGCAGAACTTGCCTTCAAGACCCCCAGCAAACCATCTGAGAGAAAGAAGGCAGGTGAGCCTGTACTTAGTCAAACTTTTTTATCCTTTAAATGTTCCCAGCTAATAACACTTGTTTCTTATCAAAGACTGTCATGCTGAGGTTGTTTTTGTGTGTCCGTGGTAGAACTTTTGCTCCTTATGCCCAGGCTAGCAGGATCTTGTCAGATCTTGGAAGCTAAGCAGGTTCAGCCCTGGTTAGTATTTGGATGGGAGACCTCCAAGGAAGTCCAGGGTTGCTACATAGAAGCAGGTGATGTGTCTCTTGCCTTGAAAATCCCACGAGGTCACCATAAATTAGCTGCAACTTGACAACAAAAACCTCAAACTGAGATTTGAGCACATACCAAGCCCTATCATCTCAAGTTGACACAGAAAGGAGCAAGCCTTCTGGGATCCTTTTCCTCCACTGTTGCATTTCTTCCATAGTACTAGGAACAAATAACGTACAAGCACACTACGACTTTGGTGTAGTGGTTAAGTGCACGGACTCTAATCTGGGAGAACCGGGTTTGATTCCCCACTCTTCCATTTGCACCTGGCTGGATGACCTTGGGCAAGCCGTAGCTTTGATAAGAACTGTTCTTGAAAAAGAGCAGTTTCTGTCAGAGCTCTCTCAGTCCCACCTACCTCACAGGGTGTCTGCTGTGGGGAGGGGAAGGGAAAGGAGTTTGTAAGCCACTCTGAGACCCCTTTGGGTAGTGAAAGGCGGGGTATAAATCCAATCTCTTATCTTCTTCTTCTTCTCTCCTTGAGGAAACTTGTTTGAGGGAAGGTGTGTGAAGGCTTTAAAAAGAGTGTAACCTTGTAGCATTTTGTTAGAAAAACTGCAGCAGCAAGGTCTTGAGATCTTTAATATTATTCTCCTGAAAGTAGACAGGTGTGTTATCCTATTATCTTAAGCGAGGAACTTATAGAGTGGCTTACCAGAGATTACACAGGAATCCTGCAGAACAGTTTGATCATGGATCGGAAAAGTCATTCTTCCAGTTTAGGTAACAAAAATGTGGAGATGAGACCATGGAAATACAAGAGAACTTCTCTGTCTTTTTTCCCCCCAATATAGGACCAGATAGTTCTCCAGCTTTAATATCTATCCCAGCTTCTCCCTTCATGCAGAAGCTTGGCTATGGAACTGGAGTCAATGTTTATCTCATGAAAAGGTAAGGAAACACCTGTATGGTGAAGTTAGGTGTGGCTCATGACTAGAGGCATATTATTTGTGTAAAACAGATTTATGTGGGATAACTTCAAAAAGGTAGGAAGGGAATAGTTAGTTTTGCTTTTAGAGTCGATATGCTAAATTTGGCATAAAGAAAAAATTATTCTCCTGGTTCAGATTGGCTGGTGACACAGAATGTAGGAGTCAGAGCAGGCCTTGACAATTCCTCTTCTTTTTTGGCTCTAGGAGCCAGGCTAAGAATTCAGGTGTCAGAGTCATTTTTCAGCATTCAGGATTTTAAAGATACTCTTTTCTATGTATTGCTAAAACAGAACCTAATCCTAGATTCTTTATAGTTTCTTGTACTTCTAGTCAAGCTATGACAAAAGTGTGCTAGTATATAAATAAATGGGGGGGGGGCACTAGCCCTGGTTGTCACCACAACAAAAATGTAACCTAACTTCTCAAATTTGTTTCTCAAATTATTAGCATTATTGCTTTAAAAGCCTCCATTTAATTGAATGTCGGTCACTATAAAAAGCAGCTGGTTGAGAAAGTAATTAATCTACTACCACTGAATGATATAAAGTTCATATAAGAAAGCAATGACAAGACCCTCATGCACACATTCTTTACACAGAGAGTGATTAAAACGTGGAATTCACTGCCAGAGGATGTAGTGATGGCCACCGAAATAAACAGCTTTAAAAGGGGATTAGATAGATTCATGGAGAGCAGGTCTATCAGTGGCTACTAGCCATGGTGACTGAGAGGAACGTCTACATTCAGAGGCACTAAACCTCTGAATCCCAGAGCCAGGAGGCAAGTCTCTGCCTCTATGCCCTGTTGGCCCTTCAGAGGAGCTGGTTGGCCACTCTTGTAAGACAGGATGCTGGACTAGATGGACCACTCCACTGGTGTGAACCATCAGGGCTCTTCTTATGTTATTAAGTTATTATGATGTGAGAAAAGTAAGCTCTGTACTTCCACTGAGGGTCGCTGAGAGAGACCTCAGTAAAACCACTGATAGTAAGTGTCACAATGAAATTTCTAGGCCCCATGCTGACGTGGTGCCTGGGTCTCGTCAATCCCTGAGTCCAGGTTTCTTTTCTTTAGTTGCTGTTACACGGATACTGTTATATGGTTCCCCTTGTCTGCTCTTGCTTTCTCCCTGTGGCATGCTTGAAATCTGAAATTGCCCAAGAAGGGGATTCTTGTTTGACTTCTTGATACCGAACTACCTACACAAGACCATTAAATACATCCTGAGTTTGTTTCTTCCTGAGCTCAGTTATAGTAATATAGACTCCAATTAAAATTGGTAATCTGTTATCTGAGTCAAATCCCATCACCAGTGATTCTGTATGTGGTCCTAACAATCAGAGCCCCATCTTTTCCTGACGATGTCTGTTTCTAGGTCCCCAAAAGGCATCTCTCACTCCCCCTGGGCTGTGAAGAAAATAAATCCTAAATGTGACTCCGGTCAGCGAAATACATATCAGAAAAGACTGAATGAAGAAGCTAAGATTCTAAAAGACCTTCTACACCCAAACATTGTGGGTAAGTTGGAATGAGGAGAGGGGAATTTCTTCATTCTGAGATTCCTGAGGCATCCTCTGTTTATCAGTAGATAAGCTCATACTGTCAAATATGGGTAGTTTCTGAAATCTGCTGCTTTCTTGCCCTGGTGACTCCCTTTACCAGGAGCTGCCTTGAGCTGGGAGGAAAGGGGGACTATAAATATTTTAATAAATATAGCAAGGATGGTATTTTAACTGCCTTGGACTGTCAGGATAAAATGTGTTCAAAGATATTTCACCTTGAAGTACAAGGAAACAACTGAAGATGCGCAAAGAAACTTTAAGGATCTGTAGCAGTCTTGGTGAATATCTGCTGTACACTGGGGAACAATAGAGGTAAACAGCTCTTGCTAACTTCTCCAGCCGTGAAGTAGGAACGAAAGGACTGCAAAGTATATGTGCGTGAGGAAATTCCATACAAAGGATTAAAAACTGGTCTTTTCCTACCACTTCAAAATATGTTAAGGTTTGAATTACTCTTTGGAGTGCAAATGTTGGGTAGCATTGGGCTGAACCTATGCTTTCACAAGCCCCTAAACAAGAGAATTGTATGTGTCCTTGAAGGATATCGTGCATTTACTGAAGCCAAAGATGGGAGCATGTGCCTTGCCATGGAATACGGGGGAGAAAAATCTCTCAATGACCTCATAGAAGAGAGGAGAGCACAGCACCAGGGGCCCTTCCCAGCTGCCACCATCCTCAAAGTTGCCTTGCACATGGCAAGAGGGTTGAAGGTATGTGTCTGATCCTGGTTGCAGAATCCACTGGAGACCAGGTCCTTTGAGGAAAGGTTGAAGGAGCTGGGTATGTATAGCCTGGAGAGGAGACAACTGAGAGGTGATATAACCATCTTCAGGTACTTGAAGAGCTGAAGGTCAGACCAGTACCAATGGGTTGAAATTAACGCAAAAGAGTTTTCAGCTAAATGTTAGGAAGAACTTCCTGATAGAGCAGTTTCTCAGTGGAACAGGCTTCCTCAGGAGGTGGTGGGCTCTCCTGTCTTGGAGCTTTTCAAACAGAGGCAAGATGGCCATCTGACAGCAATGCAGATTGTGTGAACTTAGGCAGATCATGAGAAGGGATGGCAGGGAGGGTTGTATCAGTGCTTAGTTCTTGTGGCCCTTTCTTACATATGCAGGGAAATGCTGATTGCCACTTTGGCGTCAGGAAGCAGTTTTCTCCAGGCCAGTTTGGCCCAAGGATCCTGGGGGGTTTTTTTTTTTTTTGCCATCTTCTGGGCATGGAGCAAGGTCACTGGGTGTGTGTGTGGGGGGGAGGTAGCTGTGATTTTCCTGCATTGTGCAGGGGGTTGGACTAGATGACCCTATGATTCTACTTGTGACTTATAAGAGCACACCCTGTTCTAGCAAAGCTTATAGTGGAGGGAACAAATATGTGGCTATCTGACTGTAGTAGAGAAAAGTCACTTATCTAAAGTCACATATTTGGCCCCTCAGATAGTGGGGCCAGCCTTTGTTCTGACACGGTGACTTTTGAGATTCCAACTCAAATGCAGTAACTCTGGGCTGCACGTGGTCACTAAAAATGCCAATGCATGGGTTACAGGTAAGTGCAACCCCATTTTCTAACCAGGCAGCGGTGGAAAAGACAGAGGTGAAAGGGGAAATAGGGAGGAGAGAGGTTTAAAATCAAGGGTTTGAGAAGAGGTATGGACATAACAATGGAAGAAAGGACAATGAGTGTAGCAGGAACATTTTAAAGAGGACAATGAGTGTAGCAGGAACATTTTAAAGTTGTGAGCAAGCCACTTGGCTACTGCATACATTAGTTTGCTTTGGAGCCATCCTTCCTGAGCTAAGACAAAAATGTGTGAGCTGGAGGCTAAAAAACTGTGAGCTAGCTCACACTAACTCAGCTTAGAGGGAACACTGGTGGAGAGGGTTGTCTGAGTGAGCAAGCTAGCTGTCTGGGTTGTAATCTGTTCTTGGTTGCCTGTGTGAACCGCCTTGGAAGTCTTGCTGCCCTAAGCAAAACCACTCCCTGCGACTAATCCTGACCTCTTCCTCGTCTCTTCTTCAGTATCTACACAATGACAAAAAATTGCTTCATGGAGACATCAAATCTTCCAACATTGTCATTAAAAGTGACTTTCAGTCAATAAAGATCTGCGATGTGGGTGTTTCGTTGCCTCTGGATGAGAACATGACGGGTATGTTGAACTGGTAGCAACCCCTTTATGGCCAGTGGCATTCTCTTGGTGGCCAGTCTTCAGTTCCTGTGTCTGTGACCTGGAGGATCATGTGACCTTAGTGCTCAAGGAGCTGGTTTGTAAAAAAATATTGCATTTCTCTGAAGAATTGCATCGCCAAAACTGGGGTCCGTTATATGTCCCATAATTGCATTCATATTGGAATGTAGTGAATAAGTAATACAGTATTTACTCAGATGGAAGACTAGGTTCTTTCACAGGTATGCCCTCAAGGAAAAAAAAAGTGGGATTGTCTTACATTTGCATACAAGTTTACAGCTGCCTCCAATATTTTTTGTGTTTATGTAGGATTTTTAAGTGGATCCTCTGGGTTGTCTTCCTTTTGAGTAAATATGGTGAGCGGCAGAGTTTTTTTTAGGATTAAGAAACCAGAGTTTCTCTGCCAGGATACTGGAACAACTTGTGTGGATGCCTCAAAGCAGCCAAGCAGCAAAGAGGAAGATTTTTCTTTTAAAAAATTATGCATATTGATCCGTTTAGGCGCCTGTCCTTTAGTTAATACAGACACTAATACATTATTGCTCAGTTGGAACGTCTAAAAATATAAATACCTGCTTAAAAGAAGTAAAGCTGCTGTACTCCAGGAGAGAAAGGGAAGCTGAAGACTCAGTGTAGATTAACTAAAGATTTCAAGGAACCAAGGTTAGAATGTCTATCTGGCTGCTCAGCTGCCCGTCCCCTTTCTTTTCCACTGAGCATCCTGAAATTGTAAAGAGGGGAAAACGGAGGCTTGGATGGGTGAGTGAAATCCTCTTGCTTCTGTTTCCTGGTCTACTCAGCTTGCTTCCTCACCAGTAGGAAGGGAAGGGGCAGCAGGTTGAGGCTGTGAGACTTTCCTATCTGCAAAATATGGTCTGTGCCCTTAGTTGGGTGACTTGAGGTGGCTGGCTTTAAAATTAGAGTACAAAATCCTCCCCCATCCAATGTGGTTTTAAGTGTAAATTATACAAATGAAACAAGAGCTGTGCAGGGTACTGAATCCCCCCTCCCCCAAATCATGCTTATCCACCCTTGCCTCCTCAAGCACCTGAATTTTACCAGCACATTTTCAAGCCTCAGTTGGTTGGGGATGTGGGATGTTTGAGCATGATTTAAAGGGGGGGGAGGGATTTAGTTCCTGATGTGGCCCTTGTTTCACCTGTATAGCTTATACTTTCACCCTTTTCCCTGGGGACTTGGGAGATGGAGCCTAGTTCCTGCAGATGGCTCTGCATTTCATGTAGATGGTGTTTTCTGCACAGTGAGTGACCCAGAGGCCCACTATATTGGCACTGAGCCCTGGAGACCGAAGGAAGCTCTGGAGGAAGAGGGCATCATCACCGACAAGGCTGACATCTTTGCATATGGGCTGACTCTGTGGGAAATGATGACACTTTCCATACCTCACGTTATCCTTCCTGGAGATGATGAAGTATCAGATGAAGGTTTGTCTGATGGGGGTTCCTCTTGGTCTGGCTAAACAATGGCTTTCATGGGACTTCTCCCTCTAGATGGTGTTGATTCAATAGAAAGTTAATCTGTGTGCTCCGGGGTGGGAGTGGGGGTGGACTCTAGCTCAGTCACGTTAGGCATGGGGCTGGGACTAAACACATTGCTCCAGTAAAAAGTGGATTGGTTGAAAAGAAAGCAGTCAAACTCTTAATATTAAAAAATGCTTGTTAGCACTAGGGCTCCCTTGAGTTAGTACAAATGGCTTTCAAGGTAACTGTTTTGTACCCCTATTCTAGTATTACGTCGTCTATTTGTGTATCCATATGCATACTAGGTCAGATGCTTTCTTTGGGATAAATTGTGGAGACTGCCTATTTATTCAGCTTGAGGATGACTTTGTAGGAAGTGGCTCACACTGACCTGATTTTAATGTCTTTTCAGATGCTTCTTTTGATGAGGATGACTTTGATGAATCTGCATACTACGAGGCTCTTGGGACCCGGCCACCACTCAACGTGGAAGAGCTTGGCCCACTCTATCAAAATGTCATTGAGCTGTTCTCTCTGTGCACCTTTGAGGATCCGAAAAAACGCCCTGCAGCTGCACTCATTGTCGATTGTTTAGAGGCCCAGGGATCCATGCAATAAGTGTTCCTGCACTACGGTGGCAGCTTCCCTTAATTTTTCTTGAAGTTTCTTCTTTTGGCCGCCATTGAAATTAATAAACGTTGGATGTATATAGTTTACTTACATAGAGAAACTTGAGGATACCTTTACTTAAATGCACAGAAAACGTTTGGTTTTAACACTACTGTGTAAACATTTTATAGTTCTGAAAGATGGTTCCAAGAAGGTTCTTCAGGAGCGGCAATACTTTGACTTACTGATAAACTGATGCTTTAGGAACCTCTGGAAGGCTCCCTGTTGTATCATATCTTTTCTCCATCCCTCTCCCCCATTGTGTTGTTAAGTAATTTCTGTTCACTTAATTCTTGTGATTCATAAACTCTTTTGAGTTCTACCCTCTCTGCTGCTGATCTCATTTGACCATGGCTACTTAAAACTAGTTCTAAAGGTAAAGGTAAAGGTTCCCTTGCTCGAAAGCCAGTCGAATCCGACTCTAGGGTTGCGGTGCTCATCTCCGTTTCAAAGCCGAAGAGCCAGCGCTGTCCGAAGACGTTTCCGTGGTCATGTGGCCGGCATGACTAAACGCCAAGGCGCACGGAACGCTGTTACCTTCCCACCGAAGTGGTACCTATTTATCTACTTGCAATTTCTTGCTTTCGAACTGCTAGGTTGGCAGGAGCTGGAACTAGAGACAGGAGCTCACCCTGTCTTGCGGCACCCGGGTCTTGAACCGCTGAACTACTGACCTTCCACAGCCTGCAGTTCAGCGTCTTAACCACTTGAGCCACCGCAGCTCCTTAAAACTAGTTCTAGGTCTTTATTAATGCAATTTCTGAGGAAGCAACATAACTAAAGAGGGCTGCGAAGTATGACATTTGCTTCCCTGCAGTGATACTAGTTTACCTTGCTAAGAGACTATTTTATTTAACATAACTGGGGTCCTGGTCACACAGCGAATTTGCCGCAGGAGAGCCATGGGTGGTGGGCGGATTATCGGGGCGCGATCACACCGCAACATCTGGCAAGTGGAGCGCAACCGTGGCATACCGCAATAAAAACCAGTACCTTGTATGTAGTGGCAAATGGTTTGCCACGTGCTGCCTCTGGACTCCTGCGGTGTGATCGCGCCGGCCCCTTGTTAATGCGCAGGCAGGACCCGTGGTTTGCCACCAACGCGTCAGATCGCGTTCTGATGGCTCTAATTGCACCGGAGCAATTAGCCACGCCTTCCCCCTGCGTTATCTGGCCCACGTGACCGGGGCCTGGCATCTTTCTCAGCTGCTCACAGATGCATCTGAAACAAAATGCAAAAGCAACCACCATGACTCAGGCTGTCATAATTAATAAATATGTTAAAAATACAACCTGTATTAGTGCTTTATTCAGTGTCTTACGGAATATAATGTCTTATAAGACATTGAATAAGGCACTAATACAGGATTTATTTTTAACATGATTGATTTATTGTGACAGCATGAGTCACGGTGGTTGCTTTTGCGTTTTGTTTCTGCTGTTCTCTTGCACCGTGATCTCCCTGTGTTTTTGTAGCTCGCAGATGCATGGCAACTTCTGCCAGTGGGACTAGGCACTGAGAAAGTGTCACCTGGAAGCACTCAGACTTGGATACCTCCTTTGCAACAAGAATATGATTCTGTTTCAGATTAAAATGTTTTTGACAAAAACAGGAGGCCTGTGTCAGGATATTCCTAGGACAGGCAAATCCCAGACCATGGTTCCAAGGTGATATCTTACTCCATGTATATACAGACCTGGCTAGATTTGATATATCTCCATGGAGGATCACTTTTATTGTCATAGATTAAATTTTTTAAGTAAGGGCATGGGGTAATAGAGAAGCAGTTTTCACGGCAAGGTAAATTCTAGGCAGTCACTTAGGGGATAGGTCAAAAGCAGAACAGTATTTACAAAATCTATACTTTGTCTTTCTACCCTCATCAGGGTGAGTTTCTCCTGAGACACCCCACTTTGGAGCAATTAACACAAGAACCAAATTTTGGACCAGGAAACAGTATAGCTCCACTTGGAAGGCAGAGTCCCCTGAATGTGGGGTTATATGACTTGTGGTGGTCCAAACCTAATTTTGGGGTTCAGACCTTTTAAATTGTCCTGAATATTTATTGTAGATTTACAAATAAAGGAACTAGGAAATATGAATAAGGGACTGGGAATCAAACTAGGGCTGCCAGGTCCTTACCAGTGGGGGTGGGTGGGAGGGAGCTCCCTGGGAGTGGGGGGTGGGGCGATGTTGCCATGTGGCATCACACAGAAGTGACATCATCACACCAGAGAAGTCCCACAGGCTCATGGGGGCGGGGCTTTCCCCGCCCACAAAATCTGGAGATCTCCCATTCCCACCTGGGGCTGGCAACCCTAAACCAATTTCAGCCTCCTAAACTGGCCAGAAACACAGGTGCTGAACAGGAATCCACCAGTGGGACATTTATAAAGGCAGACATTCCATTACTTGGAAGGTCTTTCTCTGGAAAGATTGAGAGACTGGTGCAAACACTCTTGAGATTGACTAGTCTATAATAACTGAAAGTTCCTGCCCCCTCTTTTCACAGTTATGGCTTGCTTTTCAATTACTAATTATTTCTAATTGACCCTGAGCAGAGCCAAGGCTTGGTGAAGTGATAAAGGAAACAAGGACAGATTTAATAAGCCACAGGATAGGATATAGGATCTAGACTAATTTCCTGTTACAGATGCTTGCCGGGAGAAAGGCAAGGATGTCAGTACAGAAAATGCAGCCTCTTAGAGAGTAGTCTGATATCATGTCCCACCTGAGTTGTTTTCAGTTCACAAAGATATTAGGTATTTATGTACTACTAATCTTATATTCCATTAATATACACAGTGGTGTTTCATGTAAGAGGAATGGCACCAAGGAGTATACTAATTAAATGGGCCAAGCTTCATTTAGTTTATGCAAGGCAACAGACTACCATTTCCATTATTCAAAAACACTGTTTAAAGGCAACTTCCACTTTCTTTTCTCATTGCAACTTAAACTAAAGCAGAAGGGCAAATTTGCATGACAAGGCTGTGTTCACCTTTAAGTGGCATAAAGAAAGCACAGAACAAGATACAGTGTAATTCATTTGGGCCTCTGCAACTGATAAAACACCACCATTTTGAAGAACAAAGCAGGAAGTTCTTCGTGAATAACAAATTATTTGTGAACTTCTGAATTTGCAATTGCAAGTAACTGAGTAATGAGTATGCAGGGAAAACATCCTGGCTAGCTATCCAAAGTCTGTTTGCTCTTGGGATTGGTTGTAGGGCCAAAAGTGAAGCCCTGTTTAGGAGATGCAATGGGAGATTATTATATATAAAGACCAGATTCAGGTACATAGCCATGTTCTGAAGCAGCAGAACAAAGTTTGAGTCCACTGGCACCTTTAAGATCAACAAAGTTTTCTTCTGGGTATAAGCTTTTGTGTGCGTACACACTTCTGTATCTGACGAAGTGTGCATGCATAAAGCTTTGTTGGTCTTAAAGGTTCTACTGTACTCAAACTTTGTTCTGTAGTTAAGACCAGTGAAGCATCAGAAGCAGGGGCTTGGGATGAATCCCTCCCATCCAGTCAACTAGCAGTGGCACCTTTCTCTTAATAAAATGAGCCTTCCCTTTATTTGAGCTTCTTGCCTGGAGAAATAGTGCTGCTATTAAGAGAATGAATCTGTTGAATCTCAGCTTTTTCTCTCTAGTGCAAAAGTAAAAGTGACATGTAGCATTATGAGGATGCATGTTTTACTTGTTATTTAGTCCACCTTTCTCACTTGTACTCAAGGTGGATTACAGAGCGAGTCAATACAACCAACAAGATGAGACATTCAGTAAACAATGAAATAGGATTTGGGTTGTAGAACCTACCAGAAATAAAAAACAGAACTGAAGGAAAACTGAAGTGTTAACATGACAAAATGATTTGGATGAAGGAACAGGGGGAATGCTCATTAAATTTGCAGATGATACTAGCAAATACAGTAGAAGTCAAGAGTCAGGATACAGGATGATCTTGACAGGCTGTGAAACTGGGCCAAAACAAAATTAATTTTAACGGATAAATGTAAAGTTCTGCACTTAGGTAGGAAAAATCAAAAGCATAATTATAGGATGGGGAAGACTTGTCCTGGCAGTAGTATGTGTGAAAAGGATCTAGGGGTCCATACACTGAACATGAATCAGCAGTGTGATGTGGTAGTTAAAAAGGCAAATGTGATTTTGGCCTGTATCAACAGAAGTATAGTGTCCAGATTCCAGTTCACACGAAGTGATGGTATCGCTCTACTCTGCTCTGGTTAGACCTCACCTAGAGTATTGTGTTCAGTCTTGGGCACCACAATTTAAGAAGGATATAGACAAGCTGGAATGTGTCTAGAGGAAGGTAACGAAGATGGTGAGGGATCTGGAGACCAAGACCTATGAAGAAAGGTTGAAGGAGCTGGGTATGTTAGCCTGGAGAGATGACTGAGAGGTGATATAATAACCATCTTCAAGTACTTGAAGGGCTGTCATCTAGAGAATGGTGTGTTGTTTTCTGTTGCCCCAGAAGGCTGGACCAGAAGCAACAGATTGAAATTAACTCAAAAGTGTTTTCAGCTAAACATTAGGGAGAATTTCTGGACAGAGTGATTTCTCAGTGGAACAGGCTTCCTCAGGGTGTGATGGGCTCTCCTACTTTGGAGGTTTTTAAGCAGAGGCTAGATGGCCATCTGACAGAAATGTTGATTCTGTGAACTTAGGCAGATCAGGAGAGAGGGCAGGAAGGGTTGCATCAACGCTTAGTTCTCATGGCCCTTTCTTACGCACCCAGGGAAATGCTGATTACCACTGGAATCAGGAAGCAAGTTTTCTCCAGACCAGTTTGGCCAGAGATCCTGGAGGGTAATTTTTGCCATCTACTGGGCATGGAGCAGGGGTCACTGGGTGTGTTTGGTGGGGGGGGGGGGAGGTACATGTGAATTTCATGCATTGTGCAGTGGGTTGGACTAGATGACCCTGGAGATCCTTTCCAACTCTATGATTCTATAACAAATTAAATGATGCAAAATTGCACAATAGGATTACCTAGTAGTACAGACTGTAGTCCCTAATGATTTATCCAAGTAACTTTGTGAAGCCTTTGGTACAGTGCTACCCTCTTGAATAAATTCAGTGTTGCAGTTTGCAGAAATCCAGGAGCCTTCCTCACCTCAGGCAGATCATTCCACATGGTGTGGATCCCAATGGAGAAGGCGCATGTATGAGCAGTTGTTGATTTTGTTCATTTACAGGTTGCACCTGCAGGAAGCCCCACTCAGCTGAGTGCAGCTGTCATGGCAGAGCAAGGGGGAGAGACAGTCTCATAGATATGAAGGTCCAAGGCCATGAAGGGTTTTGTAATAATCAATACTTTAAATTGAGCCTGGGAATTGATGGGCAGTCAGTAGATAGGAGTAATGTGCATGCTCCATCTAGCTCCTGACAATAGTCAAGCTGCAGTGTATTGTACTGAATCAGTGTATTGTACTGAATCAGAGCCATACTGATCCATAGCATTACAGTAGTTTGGCCAGATGTCACCATAGCATGGATCCAGGTGGCCAGGTCAGCTGCATCACGGTAAGGGGCCATTTTTCAAGCTAGGCTGAGTTAGAAGGAAACTTTGGTTTTCAGATTACCACCTTTGAAGCTTTAACCCCCTTTTTACATCCTAAATACAATCTCTTTCCATGGGTGCTGCTTCAGCTCTGCTGTGGCCATCATCCCTGTTGGGTACCAATACTCTTTTCTAGCTCACAGGGAGTGGGGGCAGAAGCACATTGAGGCCCCATCTGAGGGCAGGCTCTGTATTTAGAGCACTGCCTAACATTAACGGTTCTGGGGCAAGTGTGTTGGGGTGGGTATTATAAACAAAGCCCTAGGAAAGGGAGTCAGTTTTGAGAGTTTCTTTACAAGCAAAATTTTTTGACACTCGAAGACTACCTAAGAACATACGAAAAGCCTTGCTGGATCAGACCAGTGGTTGATCTAGTCCAGCATCCTTCCCTACACAGTGACCAACCAGTTCCTCTGGAGGGCCAACAGGGCATAGAGGCAGAGGTTTTTCTGGTTGGCCACTGTGTGGGGCAGGACGCTGGACTAGATGGACCACTGGTCTGATCTAGCAGGACTCTTCTAATGTTCTTATGACAGAACTATCCTCAATTAGTCTAATTCCCTTTTAAAGTACATGTGGCTATCACTACATCTGCTGGCAGAGGAAAAATAGTGTAATGAGCATTTCCTTTTTTCTGTTCTGAATCTCCTGCCCATCAACTTCATCAGATGCACTCAATTTCTAATATTTTGGGAGAGGGAAAAAAGTTTTGTCCACACTCTCCCTGCATAATTTTATTAATCTTTATGACCTCCCCTGTCATCTCTTTTCCAAACTGAAAGGTCCCAAACTCTTCAGCCTTTCCTCATAGGGAAGGTGCTTCAACCTTTTAATCATCTTGGTTACCCTCTTCTATATGCTGGTTCTTAAATGGTGCAGAGAACACATACAGCACAGGTGCCCTGACCTGGATAGCCCAGAGAAGCCCGATCTCATCAGATTTCAGAAGCTAAGCAGGGCTGACCCTGGCAAGTACTTGGAAGGGAGACCTCCAAGGAATACCAGAGCTAGGATGCAGAGGCAAGCAATAGTAAGCCACCTCTCTGAAATTTCCAAGCCCTACTAGAGGTCACCGGAAGTCAACCATGACTTCCAGGCACACACCAAAATACTCACAAAAAAATAAAAACAAATACAGCACAGGCTAATTCACAAATATTTATTTGGAGAGATGTGATCAACTCACAAAATTTAGTGCAAGAAATTCAGCGCTTTGTAGACACAGCCTATGCAGTCTCTACCCTTACATGAAATACTTCAGGATTAGTACCAGTGCTGCACATATACCACCAGGTACAAAAATATAGCTCATTTGTCCTTAGCAGCATAAAACTCCACACACATGCCCATTTCCTTTCTAGAAAGCAGCTTTTACTGAGAGGATTCTCATCTCTCACACCTAGAAGCCCAGCTACAAGCAACCCACCAGGTTTGCCAAGAATATGATGGGAACCAAAAGGCAGATGATCTAGGTAGCTTTTCAATATCAACCAGAGAGACTAGATATAGTATTAGTCACTATTCTCTTATAAATCAACTTTAGAAGTTTTAATTTTAGTAATAAACTTTACAGAAAACGACAGCAACTTGATACTATTTCTCAGTTAACACTGAACACCACATCTCAATCTTAACCTCCCTGAAGAACAGGCATCCTTCCCCAAAGAAAAGATAAAACTGTCAGTAATTCCATTGAAACATACTGAAATTGCACAGCCCTAATTAAGGAAATTATAAACAAGAAAGTTAGGGGTTTGGCAATATTTGGCTGCAAACAGCTTGCCATCTGGTGTGGGATCTGAAAAGGCGATTTCATCGGGGCTTAGGCAAGAGCCAAATACAAATGTACGTCTGGAATAGAAAATAAAAACTGATTACCAATACAGTACAAGTATCTAGTCCTACCTTAAAAATTATTTCACTTTGTTGAACTGTAAAATAAGCCATATGCAGGTTGAAGAAATTAAGTATCCAGGACCAATGCTCTCAATAAGCTGTGGAGTCTTGTGAGCAAAAATTCAATTTTGTGAGCTACTGGCACTAAAGTTGAAAGCGAGCGATTTGGCTACTGCATAAATCAGTTTGCTTTGGAGCCATCTTTCCTGAGCCAAGACAAAAATGTGTGAGCCAGAGGCTAAAAAACTGTGAGCTAGCTCACACTAACTCAGCTTAGAGGGAACACTGCTCAGGACTGTACAGAATGCCCTTTCCCTCATCTTTTCACTGTGCATGCTTCTAGCATTAAGGGAAAATGCTTATTTCAAATACTCTGCTAACAGACTAGAATGTGTTGCACATATTAGTTTATTCTCTCTTACACTGGGTGAATAATTTGTGGGGGGCATATTGCAGACAAAAAGTATGCACACAAGTACTGATTCTTAACAGGGTGTTTTATGCAGGTGTGAATTCCCATGTTGAACTGACTCTTTTAGTAGTAGCTCCTATCAATGTGAGTAAGAATCATCCTGCAGAAAACATATTTTTAAAAAACAAGGCTAGTGAAAACATGCAAGCCATGATGGGACCATTTCACTCATAAACTCTTAGCTTACTTCTCTGGCTGGAATCCAACAATTAAATGCTACTTGGATCCTGCTGGGGGGAGAGTTGACAGACAAGCTCAAAGCTCCCTCTTGCAATATTAGAAGGTGAATCAACTTCAGGGGTAAATGAACGGTGTGCTTGTTATTTCTCCCTTAACCCAAGCTAAAATTGGGCTGTGTCCCCGAGGAAACATCTTGCGTTGAATTCTGGGCTTCAGTTCATTTTTTGAATTGGAAGAGTCAGCATAGTTTCTTACCTGACAACATCCACCAAGCGTCTGGCAATGCCCTTTCTCCGCATCAGGCTAAACACCCAGATTCTACTGACACCACAGACCACTTTTTCTGGCTTTGTTGAGCAGCACCAGGCACGATGATGCTCCAGGCTATTCTTAGTGGGACATTCTGCTGGCTCAGAAATCACTCGAAAAGCCTAGGAAAAATACAAATAGCCTACAAAGGGGTGGAATGGGGAAGCACCAACAAGCCTATATCGAAAGGCAGTCTTACGGGACAGATGGTATCTGCACTTGCTGAAATACATGTTGCTTTTGGTGAGTGCCACTGTCTATCAAAAGCTACAAATCCTGTGATTTGTTCTTTGATGCTTTATTTATCCAGCACTTGATTACCTGGAATACGTAGTTAGTCAGCACCACTCAGAGAGCAAACTCCTCTCTCTCTCAGTCATCATACCCTGCCTACCACCCCATTTCAACCTGGGCTGCCAACTAACATCATTCTCAGTTGCCTCCGCCCCCTCCAGCCTACCTCTGCTGGAGAGCTCCCCAGGCAGATGACCTGTTTGTTTCCTGCTGCATAGGATAGCTCTGTGGCTTGGGGAGTGGGGTGGTCCTACCAGGTATGGGGACTGTTGCCATTGCATTTCCAAGGGAATGAGGTCTGGTTGCTGTGGATTCCATTGGATAAGGGGCGGGGCAGAACAATAAACTTGAGTATTTGGCACATTCAATTAACTGGCAGCCCTCATTCCCTGCAAGTACCAGACAACAAAGCTTTTACTCTCTACTGAATTGTGCTTACAAGCCACTCAAATCCCAGATACATCATGCTATAATAAACCTGTTATGCTATAATAAATCAAGTAACTACTGTTTTTGTTGCAAAAGACTAATACAGACTACTTGTGTCAACAGCTAAAGCCAATAAAACCCCAGAGGAATAAGGCCACTTCACAAAAACTGCATCTCAGTAAGATTTTTTATAATAAAATGAACTAGTTGAAGGATTCTGAAGACAGACTCATTCTGAAGCATAGGTCAGAAGTGTGTGTGCTTTCATTTTACTTGAAACATTCCCTTTACACACTTATTTTCTTTATCCATGAACAGTTAAGGATTAAACTCTAATAAAGCTGGGCAATTCTCTTCTTGCAATCAGACTATTATTTCCCTCTTGTCCCTGTGGAAGGAGCATCGCACAACAGGCAGTCCATTTTAGTAAATGACAGCTGACCACAACTCCTTAAGCAAGGGCCTAGAAATACAGGCACAAAGGAGATCCTCAGCCAATGTTCTCTGCTAATGAAGTGCCTTACAAGGTTATAGAAAGCAAGGGGGATTTGACAGACAACTGTTTCCCCCATACCTTTGACAAACAAATATTCCCTGCTGCCCCAGTGACCAAATCCTGTTTTTGGCATAATAAGAGATTCCCAGCAACATATGTTTCTTGGAATTAAAGTTGCTTGCTTGTGGAGCCAGAAACACCTCCAAGAATGACTTTTCCCATCAAGGATACACCCAGAAATAGCTTTTCACACTTCACATTATGCGTTACTCACCTGCCTGACTGGTTCAGCGATTAAACAACCAACTACCTTGTTAAGTGATACAAACAGATATGTTTGAGTCTGGGTTGGACAAGCCAGAGCCACCTGTTTAAACCCAAGTTCATTATCGACTAGCTCCCGTACACCTTCCACCTATAAAAGAAAAATGAGAGTGGTTGAACTCAATTATAGAGGTGAAAAATTGCCAGGTCTCAAAAGGAACTTTTCTTGATAAAGTAATCTACTGTACCTTGAATCAGATAGCTAAGGAAACAATAGGAGGGGACTCTATACTAATCGAAGTAGCAATCAAGATCTGGGACAAGCAGTAAGCATTTTCTGTCTGCTTAGTAATGTGTGGCTATGAAATAATTCTTTATCATAACACTATTTTGCTTTAAATAAAATACTTCAAAAAGTCAAATCAATTTAATTTCAAGTAATCAATTGAAAAGGAAAAAACTAATAAAGAAAATAGCTGAGTTTTTAATCTCCCTGTTTTCCTTATTTAAAAAAATCAAACTAGGGCATATAACTCAAGAAGAATGTGTGTTAGATATTTATATAATCATTACTTGTGTCATGTGACGGGGCAAAAAAAAAAATTCACTCAAGAAGACAAAAACTTTGGATCATCCCAAAAACTGATAGGTAGCAGCTTTGTACCACTTCACAGCAGGAGAAGCAAAGCCAGGAGAAAACCTCTACAGTATACCTTCTTGGTGGCATATTTTGGATCACCCTGCCGGACCAAGATAATTTTCCCATCCCAGAATTCTGCAACTACACGTTCGTTCTTCCAGCCCTGCCAAGAGAAGAGAAAAGGGGGAGAAAAATGTAGACTTCTAATCACTTGGAGCTCAAAACAAAAAACCTCAATGTATTAAAACTACAATTAAAAAAGATCCCCCCCTTGCTTGTTCCCCACCATTGATCTCTAGTGGCAACCTGGAAAATGCCCAAGCGAACTTATATATATAGCAACACACAAAATAACTCAATAGAGATTGCTGGAATAAGTGACTATTTGGAATTTTCAGCTGCCAGTCAGATTCTACTCAGGTTCCTAGCAACTGCCAATTACTATTCCATTTAGTGAGCTTCATTCCTGGGATCTCTGTTGTCCAGAACAAGATTAAAGACATTCAGAAAAGGGACTGTGGCTCATCTAGCTTTTCTCTTACCACATATTTTATTCCCTCAAGGAACCTCTGGTGGTACTGGACATGCTGTGCTTCATCCTCTGGGCTGGCAGCCGAGTAAACCATGCCACATGCTTTGCAAACAGTGGCACCAAAATGTTTCTGACCAGCATCCTGTGAGGGCAGAGACAGTGTAACTGTATTTTAGACTGGCACAGATAAATTGACATTTGAAAGGAGGTCTAAAATAGAAACACACAGAATAGTCTTTCTGGCTGATACAAGATCAGTTACTGCACTCTACAGGGTTAAGTAGAAACCCTTAAAGCAGGGGTGTCAAACATACGGCCCAGGGGCCAGATGAGGCCCCTGGAGGGCTTCTATCAGGCCCGCAGTGGAATTGGCTGTCTTCTGCTTCTTCTTCCAGTTCTGCTGCTGCTGCGTCATCGTAGGTTTGCGGCTTACAGATACACACCTGAACAGCATACTCAAGATTGCAACAGCACAGACATTTTGATGCAATAATTCAGAGCAAGAGGTGTCAGTTATCAGACGCTGTTAAATAAAAAACACTGCAAGAGTGCTAATGTTTTAAGCATATTTTTATTTTAAGCAAAAAAACCCTCCTTTGTGTTTGTGTCCTTTATAAAGTTTATTATCTCCGCTACCTGGCATTATATCTTATGACACACATGGCCCGGCCCAACAAGGTCTCATTTATGTCAGATCCGGCCTTCATAACAAATGAGTTTGACACCCCTGCCTTAAAGTATACAACACTGCAATTTTCCTTTGAAGCCATATCACCACATATAAAAATATACTCACAATGACCATCTGATCTTTTAAATCTTTGCGTAAATCCTTTGCCTTCTTGCTGGTTTTCAGTATGGTAGGAACCTTCTGCACAACAGGACTGTGCTCCACAAGTGTAGTCTGCTCATCTGGGAGAACCTGCAGCCTGGAATTATTTGTTTAGGTGTATCACCAACATAATTCTGTGGAAACTCTGGGGCAATTCATACTTCCCTTTTTAGTTATCCATTCTGCGCAAAAGTCAGACCACACTGGTCAGCTGGTCCCTGGAACAGAGCAATCAAACCCCACACTTCGCCAGAAAAATTGCAACCGGTGTGACTTGATTCACCTATTTATAGAAGTGAGCTTCAAGAGTGTCCCTCGTTCCACACAGGCATTTGGCGCATGCTTCAAAGCATTAGTTTTGAGCTATATAATTCTAAAGTATTATGCTCGCAAGATAATGCCTGGTGGTGCACTCTTCTGCACATCTTGTCCAGTATGAGCTCAATAAATAAATGGAGGATGCTTTACCACACAGCCAGCCAGAACAAAAATTTGCTCCATCTGCACCATGAATTCCAAGAATCAGTCCACAGCTTAGATACTGAAATGGCAACACTAAAAGGTACAGAGCCAGAGATTTTAAAGTTTGGATTTAAAAAAAAATTAAAATACAAATTCAGTTGGATTCTTTAAATAGTTGATTTGTAGTTACATGGTGTCTCTGAATTATTGTAGAATAAATATTAACAATGCTATGTATGTTAAAAAGTTGTCATTTATAGCACAGCTACTAAGGTAGCTAGAGGATTGCATTTATTACATCATGTAAAGTAACAGTAGATGTGGGAGGTGCCATGGCTCAGTGGTAGAGCATCTGCTTGGCATGCAGAAGGTCCCAGGCTCAACCTCTGGCATCTCTGGTTAAAAGGACCATGCATTTGGTGATGTGAAAGACCTCTGCCTGAGATCCTGGAGAGTCACTGCCAATCTGAGTAAGCAATACTCACCTTGATGGACCCACGGTCTGATTCAGTATAAGCCACAGCATCATGTATTCATGTGACAGCCTGCACTGATGCTAAGAGCAAACAGAATGCCCTTGTGCTATGTAAGCATCTCCTACTTCACCGGAACAGCCCCATTTTCATAGGCATTAACCAAGGATCCTGCATCCTACACAGGCCTGGATGTTAACACCAGAGCCAGGGGTTAATGAGACATTGCCTTGGAACAAGCTAACAAATCCCAGGGCTGGGAGGAGGCAGCAGACAAGCCCTCTTCCATACATAGAATTTGCCAAGATCCCCTTCCCAAAGAAGTTGGTAGGTTACCATTTTAATTGCAGTTTGTGTTGGATTTCACTAAGCCTCCATTTGATGTTTATCTCAGGACCACTACAAAGACAACGGTAAAGCAGGACTAAGCTCCATTATCATAGTAAGTCTTCCCACAGTTTTATGCCACATTTGGACTTAAACCAAGAAGAAAAACAGTTCATAAAAAGTATCAATTCACTTTTCTTTAATTATGAAAAAGATTACCTTTTTTTGTTGTCAGAAGGTATATTCAAAACAGGATGGAAAACATCTGCCACAGAGGATGCTTGGAAAGGGAAGAAAAACCTTTGAGATTTTCCACATGTACTTTACTCAAGTGTATGCCCCAATTACCAAATGCATTGTATTCCTGGTATTCGTATGAAAATGCTGAAGAATGGGATAGTACTAAATTTCATATCCCGTTTTTATAACAACATAGTAAATGCTTAGAGGATTGCAATGCTACTTACACTTAGTAGTCTCAATGTGGACCTTACTGGAAGAGGCATTCTCATGCTCATCCTTGTTGCTGGATGGTCCTTCTGAGATCTCTTCAGAGACCTGTGGCAGACAAACATTTTGTAAACAAAGACATTTTCAGGTGATAGTTTCCAATATGAAAAAGAGTTGGTCTTTAAACCCCTCCCACTTTTTCTATGCTAAGGAGTCTCAAGGCAGCTTACAATCGCCTCCCCCTTCTCTCCCCACAACAGGCATCTTAGGAGGTAGGTGGAGCTGAGAAAGTTCTGAGAGAACTGTGACTGGCCCAAGGTCACCCAGCAGGCTTCATGTGGAGGAGTGGGGAATCAAATCAGTTCTCCAGATTAGAGTCCACCACTCTTAACCACTACACCACACTGGCAATATGGACTCCAGGGAATGGTCTGAAGGTACATGACTCAGCAAACGCTGAAGCTAAGCCAGTACAGTTCAGGTTAGTGCTCGGAGACTATCTAGGTAACTTATTTGCTTTTTTTGGGGGGGGGGACTGGTCTTGCCTTGTTACTGTGTTCTCTTGAGCAAGGCAAAATGCAGCAACCACCAGATTGAGCAAGGCAAAATGCAGCAACTCTTCTACCAGACCTTTCAATAGGAGCCGCCACCGCTGTTACCACCAATGATCCTAGTGAATGCTTGGATCTTAGATCTGGCCCAGACATATCGCTAGGCCTTCCGGCGCGAGGGATGATGATCGGTGGAATAATGCAGAATGAGATCTGGAAGCACGCCATCTAATTTGTAGTATTGTATGCACTTCATTGGTAATTGCTAACTTATGTCCTAAATTATTTGTCTATGATATTTTATAGAGTTTTTAAGTTTTATATATGCCAATCAGGTACATTGTACCATTTTGTTAGCCGCCCTGAGCCTGCTTGTGGGATGGGTGGGGTATAAATATAATAAATAAATAAATAAAGCAAGCAAACTATATTCCAAAACACAAATGTTGCCAGACTGAACCCCCATCATTATATCATACAACAGCACCACATGATTTTCTCCAAAGATGTGGTGCTGGAAAGAAAACGGACTATCTCAGAAAACAGGATTGTACTCGTGTTTATTTAGGGGTATGGCATTAACCAAACAAGTGTTTAAAGGTCTTTCAGACCTAAGGGCTCACTCCAACCCAGCCTTGTTCGGAAAAACTAAGTCAAAAATAAGTTTCTGATTACAATCCAGTTAGAATCAGTCAGGGCTGGTAGTTTTCAGCACCCTCAGATTGCTAATGTGTATCTGGGAACTGAGACTGCTAGAATACTGATGTTAAATTACAACTTGTTCACATGTAGTATTTTGTAACATTCCATACCCCTCCAGAGAACAAAACTGCCCACAGCAATTTATATTGTGCATTACTACAGAAACAAAGGTGTGAACATTAGTGTGTACACTGAACAGCCTACCAGCTTTCACAAATTCTACATACCTCCATATCAACTGCCTTTTGATCTACGGTGTTTGAGCAACTGGAGCGAGGAGGTTGAAGGACCTCAGTTTTCTGCAAAAGGTTCAGTTTATATACGGTCTTCATATCTTGGCTTGTGTTAGGAGACAGTGTCCCAATATCCTCCACATGGTCTTGTTTCTCCTGATTTGGGGGCTCATACATTTGGTTTCTTTTTCTGCCAGTCTCAACAGCTTTGTTTTCAGTGGACAAATGGAGTTCTGTACAGGCTTGGACTCTGTCCTGCTTCTCCTTCATCACAGACTTGTTGACAGAGTGCTGTGATGACGGAGATGAAAGCTCCTTCTTAGAGCCAAGGGGCCTCTTCTTCCCAGTGGTGAAGAATGCTGCACCTGTCTGGAGTTTCAGCACAGGTTTGAATTTCATGCTTAAGATTCTGAAAGGAGTTTCCATTTTCTTTTCAATGACAGAATTAACATTCTCTTTCTGTTGAACAGGCTTTGCAGAGGTCATGTCTGTTTTAGCCTTTTTGGCATTTCTTGACAAAGTCTTGGACTGCCTCAAGGGTACCGAGCACTTGGATAGTTTTGAGCTGGTTTTCATGGCTGGCTTTACTTTCACCTGGGCTATCTCTGTCTTGTTGGCAATAGGTAGGTTGCCTTCCTCTTTTCTTGGACCAAGAGGAAGGCTTTCATTGGCCAGCTTTCTCTCCAGTATACTGAGATATGGTTTCCCTTTGCTATAAAAGGAGCTGGAGGACACAACGGAACTGTGTGTGGTCCCAGATATAGGGGACGTTCTCTGCTGGAACTCCCTTTGTATCCTTCCTGGCACACTGGCTGTCTGTAGTGGAGAAGAATCCAACTTCTGTGATTTGGTTGACCTCTGAAGCAAGTGGCGGTTTTCTTTATCATTCTCTTGAAAGTCAGGAGTTTGCTTTCTCAGAGATGCAGCACTGTGACCTGCAAGCGTCTTCACCACAGACCGATCCTCAGTGAACTCCAACATCAGTTTTTTTACTGGATTCCCATACACCAACTGACAGCTACAAAAAAGTGAAGTTACAGTAATAATTCATCCTATACGTTTCAATAAGAATTGAGCTATCTCAGCATTGTTTCAACTCCAAATAATAATTTATGTCACTTCCCATATCTTGGGACAATGAACTTACTTTGTGAATACAAAACTATATTGAAATATACTACTGTTCCATGTTTAGACTGGATTTGAACAAATGTCATACATCAATATTCTCAGTCATCTTAATAGTGCCCCTCTAAGCAAGGAACATGTCAATGATGACTCTGTAGTTGTCCATTTCTAAATTTGTAGAGGGAAGAATTAAAGATGTATGTGAAATAACCTATAATTACACATTATCAGTTATATAATTACCACCAAAAGTATTACTTCTGTTCTGCAGTATTGCAAAATTAACAGGAATGTGTTTTATTCATACTTGTCAGCTGTTACTAATGGTAGACTTAGGGGTAAGAAGTCATCCTAAAACTTTAGAAATGTGTACTACAATCCTCACCAATCAGAAGTAGAAGAACTGTATTTTCTTTTTCTTGGAGTAACGTTTGCCATGTCTTCAGTAAAGTGCCTGGAAATCAGAAACATTTACACAGTTTTTTCTGCCTACAGCACTTAAATTAGAAAAATGTGATGCTTGACTAACAGTCTTAAGGCTAGGGGGTCCTTTTCTCCACTACCCCCTTCTCCCTTATCTGGCTGAGTTGCTACAGCAACCCAAAATGGTGTCTAATGTCTCACAAGATATTGTAAGACAAATATACAAACAAGCAAAGTGTAATGGGAGGCAAAGAGGCACTCCTAAAAGGGAACAAACCCACAAGCCCTGTCCCCCAAACCGCACCCGTATTCCAGCCAACTCAAAGCTCTCTCTTCCAATCTGTCAGGCACCTTTTTCTTTACACATCACCACCTGCACCTTTAAGCTGATAATGTCAAACTCTGACAGCACAGGAGACCATCTTGTAACAACTAGCACCCATGGAGAAAACACCCACAACTAGGTAAATTAAAATAATCAAATATCATGTTAGTATTGTCTGGGGAAATCTGCCTTGTCCTTAAGGCAAGGTTCCCCAGCATGGAACCCCCCCCCCCCAGGGGGACCCACCCACCAACACTTTCCATGGTACCCACCAAGCTTTTCAGAAAGTAGGCAGGGCCATTGTAAGGAAAATCTTACTATTAGCTGCCTTCATACAAAGGAAAGGGTTTTCTTCACCTATAACAGCAGCCATAGCCACTGGAGGATCAGGAGGACTTGTAAGCTAAGTACCCACACTTTCCTTAGGTAGTATGTGAGCCCTTTCCCCCTTCAGGCTTTCATTCTTTTTACTCCTCCTTCTCTTTTCTCCCTTCTCCTCCTGCATTTCTTTTGCAAAGCAAGGAAGAAAGCATTATGTTTGCCTCCACCCCTTGTGGCAGCCATTTTGGGTGGCACTCACCCACCTCCTCTCAAAACTCCAAGGGCATCTGCAGCCTTAGAAAGATTGGGGACCCTTGCCCGAAGGCAAATCAACAGTTTCACGCTCATTCACAACCACCCTTTTAAAACGTTTACTGTCCAGGGACGCTTAAACGTTAGCAGGACTTGCTGCCGGGTGAAGTTGCACTGAAAGAAGTGGCTTTCTTCAGAATACTTCAGCATTCGGGGAAGACTTCCTCGATCTGTAGGGCGTCCTGTCATTTTTGCCTCCAGCCTCCTGTGACACGTTCACACAGTCGAGGCAACCGGCCTTTACCTGGGAATTGCACCAGTTCAAGCTGCAGGAGACTGAGGGTGACTGAGATCGGGCTGCATAAACGGCTCGAATACCTTTTCCGCTCCCCACTCAGCTTAAAAAGCATAGAAATCTGCACACGTGTGGGGAGATTGAGGCAACTACGCGCTTTCACGCATGTAGAAAGCCAGCAAGCCCAGAAAGCGGGTATTGGCCCAGCCTTCTTCCTGATTTACTAGCTTTCTACGTGCGGGGCGGGATTCTTGGTTCCCCCTTGTCTTCTAACTTTGCGACAGGAGATCGCGTCCCCCTTCCTCGTGCTTTTTAAAAAGCCCATTAATCATCCAGATGCCCTGACTGGTTAATTAACTTCCTAAATAGAGGTTCCGACTTTCACAGCCAACCCCCGACACCTCCCAAGCACCACCACCACCCTTTCGCTCGTTACACTAACATTCTTCTTTAACAAGGAAAAATAAATCATTTCCCTTCGTTACCTCAGAGAGTAAAAGAAGCCGCGAAAACTCCGGCTTCCGCGCCAACCGCCTCAGCTGACGACTGTCACCTTTCGAATCTCCGCCGCGCGCGCGAGATAACTCGTCTGCGCCTATTGGTCGATCTTGTGGTTAACTCTGGAGCATCGCAAATACCATTGGCTGCATTAATAACCAATGTTAGTCTCCTTATGGCAAGTTTAAGAAAAATAAGCCCGCCTTACTGACTCTGGACCAATAGAAAATTCCTGTCATGTCAACAAGGCTATTAGCCAACGAAATCGTAAAATACTCCGGAAAAGGGCGGTGACTATGCAGGCTCTTCCGGTAGAATTAGAAAAGGCGGGGAGAGACGATCGAGTTGCGCAAAGTTTCCTGGGAGTTGTAGTTTTGAGATGGGCCGTGTGTCGTGTTTAGGAGGCAGCGCCGTTTATTCGTGTGCCTGGACCGGTAAATCATCGCAGGCTGTTAGTGTCTGCGGTGTTCTTGTTGTCATTCAGGGTTACAACGCCAATGCGGCCCACAAGTCACTTATTATGCTCTTAGTCACTTCGTGCATAGCATGCCTTGCCTGGTCTTTCCTGATGGTCTCTCATCCATGTGCTGACCAGGACCAACCCTGCGAAACTTCCCAGACCTGACAAGATCAGGCTAGCCTGGGTTATCCAAGTCAGGTTATAGATCTATACAGGGACATTATAGTGTTAGCTAGTTTATTTCCTATCTCGTTCCTAATTGTTGTTGTTGTTCAGAGTCCGACTCTTCGCGACCCCATGGACCATCTCCCGCCAGGCCCTCCTGTCTTCCGCTGTCCTCTGAAGTTGGCTCAATTTCATGTTCGTTGCATCAATGACGCTGTCTAACCATCTCATCCTTTGCTGTCCCTGTCTTCTTTGACCTTCAATCTTTCCCAGCATCAGGGTCTTCTCCAGTGAGTGCTCCCTTCTCATTTGGTGGCCAAAGTATTTGAGCTTCAGTTTCATTATCTGGCCTTCCAGGGAACAGTCAGGGTTGATTTCTTTGAGGATTGACTGATTTGTTCTTCTTGCAGTCCAAGGGACTCTCAAGAGTCTCCTCCAGCACCATAGTTCAAAAGAATCTATTCTTCGGCGCTCGGCCTTCCTTATAGTCCAACTCTCACAGCCATACATGACTACTGGGAATACCATTGCTTTGACCATGCGGACTTTTGTTGGCAGGGTGATGTCTCTACTTTTTATCATGCTGTTTAGGTTCGCCATCACTTTCCTCCCAAGGAAATCTTTTAATTTCATGGCTGCTGTCACAGTCTGCGGTGATCTGGGATCCCAGGAACGTGAAGTCTGTCACTACTTCCACGACTTCCCCTTCTATTTGCCAAGGAGTGATGGGGCCGGATGCCATGATCTTAGTTTTTTTGATGTTGAGCTTCAAGCCCACTTTTGCGCTCTCCTCTTTTACCCTGAGCAAGAGGCTCTTGAGGTCCTCTTCACTTTCTGCCATCAGAGTGGTATCGTCTGCATATCTGAGGTTGTTGATCTTTTCCCCAGCAATCTTAATTCCCGCTTGTGATTCATCCAGGCCAGCATTTCGCATGATGTACTCTGCATATATATTAAATAAGCAAGGTGACAGTATACATCCTTGTCGTACTCCTTTTCCTATGCTAAACCAATCAGTTGTTCCATATCCGGTCCATAATCCAGCGAATGTTGGCAATTTGATCTCTCGTTCCTCTACCTCTTCGAAACCCAGCTTGTACTTCTGGTAGTTCTCTATCCACGTACTGTTGAAGCAAGTCAGGAAAGCGTCCACGCTCCTGGCTTTTTGCAAACTATGCCAAACTGAACTATTCAAGAGGGCTTCTCTGCACAGGTAATAATGGCTGTGAATAATAATGGGTGTACTTACTGTGCTTCAGTTCTTTCTGTTGGTTCCAGACTTTTAAAATCCTAATGCATTGGTTATCTAATGTCCCATTTGGTCGATTGTACTGACTCACTATGTGTAATTCATCTTGAGTCCTGTGCTGCCCCCAGTCAGCGTTAACTGTAGGTAATAGTAGTTTGGTAAAACTGCTGTGTATCTTTAAGAGCAGTTGCCCTTGGGAATTGTAGTCCTCAGGTGTCCCAAAAAGCATCCCTCTGACTGGCTCATTAAGGGTAATTTCCTGAGTTCAGAGGCACGAAGATAGGAATTTATTGTTCTTTTCAATTTCTTTGTCTATGTATCCTTACCGCAAGGAGAGGGGAAGGCCATCTCTTTCTCACCACAGCTATAGAATTGACCTAGATCACAAGGTGTAACTTTTCCACCCAGCTATCAGCTTAGATTGTGAGTAAATGATCTTCTGAATGCATGTGAAGTTCAATAAAGATTATTTAAGTCTCTTCAGTGGTCCTGTGTTTGCTCACACCTAGAAAGTGCTAACCTCAGTCGGAGCTAGCGCCGAAGAGGAACAAGTCCCTGCGAGAAAGGCGGACTATAAATACTATAACTAAGTAGATGGCCTTTTTCACTGTAGTGACTTTGATTGACCCCCAAGGTCTCTTTC